ATGAAGCATGGATGAAGCACCATGAAGCATGGATGAAGCACCATGAAGCATGGAATGAAGCACCATGAAGCATGGATGAAGCACCATGAAGCATGGATGAAGCACCATGAAGCATGGATTTAAGCACCATGAAGCATGGATGAAGCACCATGAAGCATGGATGAAGCACCATGAAGCATGGATGAAGCACCATGAAGCATGGATGAAGCACCATGAAGCATGGATGAAGCACCATGAAGCATGGATGAAGCACCATGAAGCATGGATGAAGCACCATGAAGCATGGATGAAGCACCATGAAGCATGGATGAAGCACTAAGGATGAAGGAAGTGGATGAGGCAAAGTTTGAAAGACGTTTTCTTAAATATAAATTATCATTATTATTATTATTATCATTATTTTACTGTTTTATTTTCATTATTATTGGATTCACGAATAAGCTCTAAACCCAGAAGGGCCATATTGCGCCTGGGGGTGAAAGACATTCAGGCTGATCCGAGCAAATTAGATGGCAACTCCAATAACGTGGATCACGAGCCTACAGTGGCATTAAGGCCTCCTTTCTCCCTAACTGATTAGATACAATATATATTTTATAATATATATATATATATATAATATATATATATATATATATATATATATATATATATATATATATAATACACTTGCAGGTGTCCCACTTGTAGTGTTCCACTTGCAGGTCTCCCACTTGCAGGTGTTCCATTTGCAAGTGTCCCACTTGCAGGTGTCCCACTTTCAGGTGTCCCACTTGCAAGTGTCTCACTTGTAGGTGTTCCACTTGCAGGTGTCTCACTTGTAGGTGTTCCACTTGCAGGTGTTCCACTTGCAAGTGTCCCACTTGCAAGTGTGTCACTTGTAGGTGTTCCACTTGCAGGTGTTCCACTTGCAAGTGTCCCACTTGCAGGTGTCTCACTTGCAAGTGTGTCACTTGCAGGTGTTCCACTTGCAGGTGTCTCACTTGCAAGTGTGTCACTTGCATGTGTTCCACTTGCAAGTGTCCCACTTGCAAGTGTGTCACTTGTAGGTGTTCCACTTGCAGGTGTTCCACTTGCAAGTGTCCCACTTGCAGGTGTCTCACTTGCAAGTGTGTCACTTGCAGGTGTTCCACTTGCAGGTGTCTCACTTGCAAGTGTGTCACTTGCAGGTGTTCCACTTGCAGGTGTCTCACTTGCAAGTGTGTCACTTGCAGGTGTTCCACTTGCAGGTGTTGCAGACACCACAATACAACCTTCATTCACTACTTAACTCCAAACATCAACTTGGCTGTTCTAGATATTTTTAATTAGTTATTATTAAACATATTATTTTAAGTATGGTATACATTCTCGATTTTTAGTGCCATATTTGATTTAGTGTTATAATTTTGGCCCCGTTAGCAAATTCAGACAGAATCGCTAAACCCGCAGGGGTCATAGAGCGCCTGGTGTTAATCATATCTGGCCATAGGAAGCGAAGAGTAGCTCCAATTCCTTGGATTCAGAAACTTCCTTTGACGTGAGGCATTCAAGCAAGTCTTGACAAGTGTTTTCCTCATTAGACAAGACTTGCAATCAAGAATGTCTTCGTGCAAGCACATACACGTACATATTTAGGTCTTGCTCACCTTGACATGGAAGTACACGTGTTGCAAGTAATAAAATTCATTACTTTAAATTTTAAAGGGGTGGAAGGGTAAGCCAAGGGAAGGTCTCGGTCAGGAGACCAAAATCTCTGATGGTGGTCATCATATGACTAAGCCTGAGACCCGAGTTGTAATAACATTCTTCAGTACTCTACCCTCAACACTATTATAACAGCTAATGAAAGATGAATAATTTATTAGATTAAGACTCGTGCCAGGAAACACTTGTCTTGTTTCCTGGTGACTAAAACAAGTTAATAAAAACTCAATATTATCACGAAGTTTATTAATCAGACATCGATAGAAATGTGGTTGATGGTTTGTACATGAGGCTAGCAGGAACCAGTGTGTGGACGCTGCTAGCAGGAACCAGTGTGTGGACGCTGCTAGCAGGAACCAGTGTGTGGACGCTGCTAGCAGGAACCAGTGTGTGGACGCTGCTAGCAGGAACCAGTGTGTGGACGCTGCTAGCAGGAACCAGTGTGTGGACGCTGCTAGCAGGAACCAGTGTGTGGACGCTGCTAGCAGGAACCAGTGTGTGGACGCTGCTAGCAGGAACCAGTGTGTAGACGCTGCTAGCAGAACCAGTGTGGGACGCTGCTAGCAGGAACCAGTGTGTGGACGCTGCTAGCAGGAACCAGTGTGTGGACGCTGCTAGCAGGAACCAGTGTGTGGGACGCTGCTAGCAGGAACCAGTGTGTGGACGCTGCTAGCAGGAACCAGTGTGTGGACGCTGCTAGCAGGAACCAGTGTGTGGACGCTGCTAGCAGGAACCAGTGTGTGGACGCTGCTAGCAGGAACCAGTGTGTGGGTGCTGCTAGCAGGAACCAGTGTGTGGGTGCTGCTAGCAGGAACCAGTGTGTGGGTGCTGCTAGCAGGAAAAAGTGTGTGGACGCTGCTAGCAGGAACCAGTGTGTGGGTGCTGCTAGCAGGAACCAGTGTGTGGGTGCTGCTAGCAGGAACCAGTGTGTGGACGCTGCTAGCAGGAACCAGTGTGTGGACGCTGCTAGCAGGAACCAGTGTGTGGGTGCTGCTAGCAGGAACCAGTGTGTGGGTGCTGCTAGCAGGAACCAGTGTGTGGACGCTGCTAGCAGGAACCAGTGTGTGGACGCTGCTAGCAGGAACCAGAGTGTGGGTGCTGCTAGCAGGAACCAGTGTGTGGACGCTGCTAGCAGGAACCAGTGTGTGGGCGCTGCTAGCAGGAACCAGTGTGTGGACGCTGCTAGCAGGAACCAGTGTGTGGACGCTGCTAGCAGGAACCAGTGTGTGGACGCTGCTAGCAGGAACCATGTGTTGGACGCTGCTAGCAGGAACCAGTGTGTGGACGCTGCTAGCAGGAACCAATGTGGGACGCTGCTAGCAGGAACCAGTGTGTGGGACGCTGCTAGCAGGAACCGGTGTGTGGACGCTGCTAGCAGGACCCAGTGTGTGGGACGCTGCTAGCAGGAACCAGTGTGTGGACGCTGCTAGCAGGAACCAGTGTGTGGACGCTGCTAGCAGGAACCAGTGTGTGGACGCTGCTAGCAGGAACCGGTGTGTGGACGCTGCTAGCAGGAACCAGTGTGGGACCGCTGCTAGCAGGAACCAGTGTGTGGACGCTGCTAGCAGGAACCAGTGTGTGGACGCTGCTAGCAGGAACCAGTGTGTGGACGCTGCTAGCAGGAACCAGTGTGTGGACGCTGCTAGCAGGAACCAGTGTGTGGGTGCTGCTAGCAGGAACCAGTGTGTGGACGCTGCTAGCACGAACCAGTGTGTGGACGCTGCTAGCAGGAACCATTGTGTGGACGCTGCTAGCAGGAACCAGTGTGTGGACGCTGCTAGCAGGAACCAGTGTGTGGACGCTGCTAGCAGGAACCAGTGTGTGGACGCTGCTAGCAGGAACCAGTGTGTGGACGCTGCTAGCAGGAACAGTGTGTGGACGCTGCTAGCAGGAACCAGTGTGTGGACCGCTGCTAGCAGGAACCAGTGTGTGGACGCTGCTAGCAGGAACCAGTGTGTGGACGCTGCTAGCAGGAAACCAGTGTGTGGACGCTGCTAGCAGAACCAGTGTGTGGACGCTGCTAGCAGGAACCAGTGTGTGGACGCTGCTAGCAGGAACCAGTGTGTGGACGCTGCTAGCAGGAACCAGTGTGTGGGCGCTGCTAGCAGGAACCAGTGTGTGGGTGCTGCTAGCAGGAACCAATGTGTGGACGCTGCTAGCAGGAACCAGTGTGTGGGTGCTGCTAGCAGGAACCAGTGTGTGGACGCTGCTAGCAGGAACCAGTGTGTGGACGCTGCTAGCAGGAACCAATGTGTAGACGCTGCTAGCAGGAACCAGTGTGTGGACGCTGCTAGCAGGAACCAGTGTGTGGACGCTGCTAGCAGGAACCAGTGTGTGGACGCTGCTAGCAGGAACCAGTGTGTGGACGCTGCTAGCAGGAACCAATGTGTAGACGCTGCTAGCAGGAACCAGTGTGTGGGTGCTGCTAGCAGGAACCAGTGTGTGGGCGCTGCTAGCAGGAACCAGTGTGTGGGTGCTGCTAGCAGGAACCAGTTTGGACGCTGCTAGCAGGAACCAGTGTGGACGCTGCTAGCAGGAACCAGTGTGGACGCTGCTAGCAGGAACCAGTGTGTGGGTGCTGCTAGCAGGAACCAGTGTGTGGACGCTGCTAGCAAGAACCAGTGTGTGGGTGCTGCTAGCAGGAACCAGTGTGTGGACGCTGCTAGCAAGAACCAGTGTGTGGGTGCTGCTAGCAGGAACCAGTGTGTGGGCGCTGCTAGCAAGAACCAGTGTGTGGGTGCTGCTAGCAGGAACCAGTGTGGACGCTGCTAGCAGCAGCACGCTATGGCAAGGTTGATATAAAAGGCCAGTACAAAAACTAGGCTTTATTCTTAAAAAGAATGCTAAAATCCGTAACACAAATGGCATTATTAATGTCTAAATTCAATATCACTAAGGTCTAAATTTGAGTTTCATTATTATAACATTAACGGTAATGATATAGAAGGTACCCCTGTGTACCCACAACATAACTTGAGTACAACCTTAGGCAGTAACTAAGGGAAGAGTCGAATAGCATCAGTTATTAATGTCAGGCCAATGAGGTAGACCAATGGGTAGGGTGGCCTGCTGGCCCAGACCAGTGGCTAGGGTGGCCTGCTGGCCCAGACCAGTGGCTAGGGTGGCCTGCTGGCCCAGACCAGTGGCTAGGGTGGCCTGCTGGACCAGACCAGTGGCTAGGGTGGCCTGCTGGACCAGACCAGTGGCTAGGGTGGCCTGCTGGACCAGACCAGTGGCTAGGGTGGCCTGCTGGTCCAGACCAGTGGCTAGGGTGGCCTGCTGGACCAGACCAGTGGCTAGGGTGGCCTGCTGGCCCAGACCAGTGGCTAGGGTGGCCTGCTGGCCCAGACCAGTGGCTAGGGTGGCCTGCTGCCCAGACCAGTGGCTAGGGTGGCCTGCTGGCCCAGACCAGTGGCTAGGGTGGCCTGCTGGCCCAGACCAGTGGCTAGGGTGGCCTGCTGGACCAGACCAGTGGCTAGGGTGGCCTGCTGGTCCAGACCAGTGGCTAGGGTGGCCTGCTGGTCCACTCTACCACAAGACCAACCTAAATGCAATAAAAAGTTTTGATAACAAATTTTCACTTCTAACGTGTTTTTTTTTAAAAACAATAGAAATCAAATTAAAGTGATGTGGGGGAGGTGGGTATGTGTTTCTTGGCGTGTTGACAGGCAGACACCAAGGGGTACAGACCGCTAGTCATGTAAAAATAATAGGAGCCCAAATTGGCCACACAATCTGGTCTAGTGAAAGAGGCAAGCGGATCCGTCACACCATGATCACTTTCACAACGTCACCGTAACACCAAGTAGCATATTATCACTTGCATAAGACTAACCCTGTTTTGTGCATAAGTTTTGACACACGCTGAGGTATACCGAGTATTCTGAGGTATTGTATGTATAACCGTTTAGCTGGTGTTGACACCCGGGTCGCTCCACCACCACCATCACTACCCACCACGCCTCTATACACAACCCTCAACACTTTACTGTGGCGTGTTGATGCGGGTCATAGCTGACCCTGGACAAGGTGAGGCGGGTTCTCCGCCAGGTCAGCCAGGTAGGTGTCGGGGGAAGAAGAAAACGGAAAACAGGTAAGGCGATATGAGAAGTGATGGATACTGGATCGTAGAAGAGCAGGTAGGTACTTGGCAGGAGCCAGAAAGGTCAAGTAGCAGATGTGAGGGATGAAGGAGGGTGAGGTAGGAGGTGAGGGGTCGTATGAGTCACCTCACCCGGGTGACGGCCACAACAATACTGATACAGGTATCGTCACTTCCCTGCACACTGACCACCACGAGCCTCTGAGCGAGTGTGTTTCACAGTAAGATGAGGACATGATGCGAGGTAACGGAGGCCTCAGGCACGGAACGCGAGGCACGGGGCCGGGCCGGGGCGGCCCTCACCACCCCAGGGGGCGGCGGGAACAGTATGGCACAGGGGCGGCCGCCCGCGGCATGGAATGTTGGCGCGGTATCACAGGGCGGCGGAAGCCGCGTGAGGTAGATGCGGGGCGAGGCAGCCACAGGAACTCAGCACCGGCGGAAGACGGGCGCGGGCGTGTGCGGCCAGGTCACCCACAGGGGTACACGCCGCCCACTCCGGGGCCACAGTTGGGCCATCATCAGTAAACTGGAGGGGCCACCACGTGTGGAGGGTGGCCGGGATGGCCAGGAGGGCCGTGGCCCGGGTGTGTCATACCTCCGTGTGGACCACCTGGGCGGTGGCCTGGGTGGTGGCCTGGGAAGACTGGAGGGCCATGGTTCATGGGTGGCCCCTGGGGAGGGTGTGAGGGGGTAACAGAACCAGCGGCTGCCATGGCTTTCTTGCGGTGTGTCTGGAAGTGCTTGAGCATGTGGTCCTTCCTGATGAACCCTTTACCGCACTGTTCACATGTGAAGGGTTTCTCGCCTGTGTGGAGACACATGTGACGCCGTAGGTCGGTCTTGTGATTGAACTGCTTGGGACAAACCTCACACTTATAGGGCTTATCCCCCGCATGCTTGCTCTGATGGTCACTGAACGTTACTTCGTCTGGGAAACGTTTGCCACAAGTGCCGCACTTAAAAGGTTTCTCGCCCTCGTGGTAGGTGGTGCGGTGCTGCGTCAGGTAACACATGCGATTGAACAGTTTACTGCAGTCTTGACACCTGAAGGATCCTTCGGCGTTGACGCTGCTACTGGTGCCGCCGGACTCGCTAGAGTCCATGGAAGCCTCTGAGCCCGTGTCACCTCCCGCTGGCTCCGGGGAGCGAGACATGCCACTCTCTACACGATCATTCTCAAGCTTGAAACTACTGAAGCCATCCAGGCTCGGCCCGGGGAAATCATTCATGGAATGAAACCCCGGGCCCTGGTGGCCCCCCTGCGTCTGATAACCACCGAAATTGTTGCTACCGCTGCCCGGGTAAAAAGGAGGGCCCCCTCCCATGGAAGTTGGAGGTTGGCTCCCAAACCCCGTCGGGTTAGTACTGAAGTGGCCGTGGTATAGCGTAGGTGCTGTTGGGGGTTGTTCGCCACCTAGAAAGTGCGGTGCCTGGTTGAACTGTGCCGCAGGGTGGAGCCCTTGTGAGGGCCCCGGGACCCCTGGAGGCTGGTACCCTGACAGAGATGTTGGTGGGTTGTAGGATGGAGGAGGTTGCTGCATGGGCGGGGGTGGCGGAGTCTCGAGGGCGTCCGCCGCAGACAAGTTGCTCTCCTCGTCTTGACTGGAGAGATTGGAAGCTTCGCCGATGCTCTTGGCACCCGGGGAGAGTATGGGCGGCCTGGTGTGGTCTGGCGTGGAACGATTGGCACTGTTTCCACTTACTTTGGT